ATTTGAATAATCATTTAAATACAAGGTTAAAAAAACAGAAAAAATATAATAAACATAAGGAAGAAATAAAGATTAATGTATCAGTATTTGTAATTAGTCGTCATGCTCCATCCACAATGTATTGAGAGACTGTTGCGTGCCGAGCAGTCTTTTCAGTTATATTTAACTGTATTAACACATATTAACCAATTTAACATTCACAGAAACCCCACCTGGAGAAGCCAGGTTCGCCAAAGGTCACCCGCAGCAGATCTGATAGGCAGCCCAGAGGCAGCCCCCAGAGGGGCCTTGTGTGTGAGATCTGCAAATTCGAGACAGGCCTTAAACACAAGCCATCTGCTCCCTGCCCCCCCCCCCCACTCTCCTCCCTGCAATTTTGTTTACAGACCTTATCTCTGAGAAGTGGCCCTGGAGGGTGGTTGCAAGGGAAGCAGAAACCTTTCTTTCTACGGGGTTTTGATTTTGGTTGCGTTCTCTTCCACACGACATGCCAATTCACGGTTGAGTCCACTTCTGAGCGAAACCCAGTATTTCAGAACAAAGGATTGGCACCAGCCGGTGAGCACTCCTAGGGAAATGTGTGCAAAACACAGAGCTTTACTGTTTCTTTTGGACAAATCACGCGCACATTTCTCCCAGCACTGGAGTCACTGCAGGGGGTGACGAAAGATGGGGGGGAGCAGTATTCAAGGTGGAGTCCTTGGCTTTTCAGTGGTTAAGAGACAACCATCACTGGTCAATCATCCAGAACCCTAAGCTGACAATCATGAAAAAAAAAAATAGCTAAGGAGAAAGAATCCCCAAACACACAGATCAAGCCTGGCCCCTGTCATCTAAATTAGTTCTTAAGTTCAGGGTGGCCCTGGCCTTTCCTATACCTGGACACCCAGCTCTGTGGTGGAAGCTCCCACCATCCAAAGACTGTGGGCTTCTCAAGACTTCTTAGGAATCCCTGATTTTAAATCTCCCAAAGGAATGTCAATGTCATTATCAGAGGGTTAAACGTTTTGTCTTTCCTAGCCAGGATGCATGCTTCTAGGTATCCACTCTCTCACATTCTCTCAAGTTTCATTGCTGTTCTAGTGGCCAAAACCCCAAGATTTCCTCTTCATTGGGGTTCCTAGGCATTTTTAATGATGTCTTTTCCAGATGACAGAGCCTCTTGTTTTTTTAGGTGGCACAGTGGCTGCTTGGGGGGATATGGAGGAAATACCACTCGTACCTGTTGGTGGTAAGACTGATTATGTTGCGTGATTCCCATGGGATGTTCTGCCGCATCTGCCCAAAGGGAGGCAGAGCCCAAAACCGGGGCACAGATACCGAATATGTAACCTTACAGGGAGGCCTGTGCTGTGTTCTCAATGGTAAAGCCAATGATCGCTCCTCTGCGATCAGTTTAAAAACACCACCGACTGTCTCTGCTTTTCACCAGGATTGCGAGTGTTAGGGACAAGAACATTCCTGAACAAACAGCAAGGCTTTGTGACGTTTGCTTGTAACCAACCATGCACAAGAATGCCTGTACTAGTGGAGAGTCAGGATTGGAACACAAGTAAGGTTTTTTTTGCTACTGTGAGAACCATACCTTTCCAGCAAACAGAAGTTTTGTTCCACCTTGAAAACTAGCACGCACTGACTAGGCTACTCAAACCTCGCAGCAAGGAGTGAGCGCACGAGCGAGCTTGTAAGTGTCCACAAGGTCGCGCTTGGCCTTAGCCTCGGGCTCCTGTCCATGGCCACCTGCCCAGTTACCAGGTTCAGTCCGGTACAGGTGGAACATGCCCCTGGAGACATCCTTGGCCGCCTTAATAAAATTGCCTCACTAGGGCTGATAACACACAGCAGTCGATTTGTCCTGCTTCGGGTGGGAGATTTCATGTGAAATGTTTGCAAGCTTCACCTGGAGTCTTCCGGTGAAACTAAGCAGCCCTTCCAAAGGGACCAGCAATCATCCTCAGGTGCTGTTTTTCGATAACTCTTTCAATGCTCCAAAGCAGGTGTCGCATCCCAAAGAGCCTTTCTCAGCGTGAATCTTTGAGCGTTGAAGGGTCGTTGGGAACTGGTGTGCTTGATACTTGACCGGAGCAGCTGTGTGGATTCCCACTTCCGTGTTATTCCCTTTTAGTTTCACTCCTCAAGGATGTGAACATTCTCCATCCCAGTATCTGAGTGTAGGGTGAATCCCCTATTTCTGACTTAGGGCCTTTCGGAGAGAGTGAGGCAGGAGCTGCAGTCGCCTGTACTCTAAGAGCTCAGTCCACATGTTTTCTTAAGTTGGTACAGAGCCCACCCCCTGCAGCCTGTTCCCCACTGTGTTGCTCTGTTTGTCTGGGGGCGTGGTTTCCAAACATGGCGTCCAGTATTTATAGTCGTTTCCAATTCCTCTGGTTTTATTATAGAACTTGGGGTCTCTCAAATCATACTCAGGGAGTTCATAGAGCTTTTTCCACTTCATTTTCTTGGTCCCTGAAAACACATAAATAGGTTGATGTATATTCAGAAACCCTGCAGTACATGTTCTGAGCACATTGCTGTCTAAAGTTCTGCCTATCATACACAGGCTCTGGAGAGTCTTTGAGAATCACTCTCGGCTTAGACCATGATCAGGGCTTAAATTCCACCTGCGGGGTCTTGTTCTGACCTGGTTAACATCCAGGGTTTCTGGCTGCCTACAAGGGATGGGAGGCTGGTGGCGGAGTGTTGGGACAGGGGCCATAGAAGCTACTGCACGGAAGAAGAGGAATAGGAAGATAAAAGCTTTTAGATTTAAATGATGAAGTGGGCAGATCCAAAATGGATGACCCCAGATCAGCCAATCCAGAATCTCTGATACTGCTCAGGTGTGCACTCAATTACAGCTGGCAATCAATCGTATATCAGCTTCAAGTACACGGCATAATGGTTCTCCATCAATACAACTTACGATGTGATCCTGTGAGAAGCCCAGCACCCTCCAGACATAATACAGACTCTTGTAAACATCCCCACGGCTGTTATGAAACTTCCCCTTTGTACTTTTTAATCCCCTAAAATCGCTTTATGGTATTCCAAGCGCGATCAAAGTTGAGAAACCCCAAAATAGGGGATGGTTAAAAAGACGCACCAACTTCTACTTAAATCTTTCCCCGGTCAGTTCTCAGCTGGCCTCTTGATCAGTTTTAAAGAAGAATATGGCAAATTGACCAAAAGCGCACAGAGCAGAAAGAAAGCAAGAGGAATTACCACCCCACCCCCACCCTGGCAGCATCCATACCCCCACACATTTCAAGGAGCTCGGATGGTGGAGTGACTTTGAGGAGATAGATTTAATAAAGATAAATGTCTAAGCCCACATCTTGGATGCAGTCAACCAACTTCACAAAGGCAGGAGGGCAATGTAGATGTGACTAAACAGCGATACCCAGGGAAAATTATTGAGGAATTCAGTCGATTTTACATGTTACGTGAGTCAACATTCTAATCTAGTTCTGATCGGGCTGCCAGAAAGTCAACTCGATCTGCACTGAATCAACAATTTCATTAGTGTCTGGACGAGGAAGACCCTTTCTTCATGCCTGTTGGAAGACTTTGCCTACTGAGTCATATCGAGAGCAGTATGCTAAATGAAGAACACGTTAAAATTAGATTATGGCTGATGAGGGAACTAGGAGTTGTCCTATTAAAAAAAAAACTTTTCCCCCCTGGGAGGACAGCTAGTACAAGGAGCACATAACATATTTTTCAAAACTATGGACATTTATCATGTCAGATTTATCATGTCAAGTCCAGAAGTCAAAAGCCAGGACGAAATGAAAGGCAACGCTTTTCAGCCACCTTAGCCATCAGTGAAGGGAATGGGCAGCCCATCGACCAGAGGGCCCCTGTCCCTGGAGTTACTTAAGCCCACAAGTAAGTGATGGGCAAGGGGAGTGCCAGAACTTGTAGGGACTTCCATCAGACTAGGAAGGTCTCCTTTCCATTTAAACGTTTATGATCTGCGTTTCTAAAGTAGCTCCGCAGTGAAAGGGAGCCTCTTCATCTCTTCCCCAGCAGCGGGGAAACTCGCGGCTTGGTCCTCTGCTACCTGTACCCTCTGCCCGCGGAGACCACCGGCACAGTCAGCACCATGCGGCCCCCGGGTGATGCTCCCAGGGGCAGAGGCAGTCGCTTTTTTGCAGACGTCACTTCGTACAATCTGTTGGCCACATGTCTCTCTCTTTATCGGCCCCTTTCTTATTTAAACTTAACTTCTTGCAGAAAGTGACCCTGTGTCTCTTCACTGTTCCTGAGGATTTGGGCCCGAAGTTGGTGTTTCCGCGGCCCTCACTGCACTCAGAGGACTCGCTTCACCGACAGCGCGAAGTTACCAGACCAAGGGACAGAGCCAGCCCCTCCGTCCCCACCGGGACCGGTGGGGTCCCCGCCATTGCGCTGACTTTGTCTGGGACCCTCCAGAACTCCGGGTGTATTTCCAAACTTTGAGCTGGGCGCCCCGGGCCAAGTGTGCCGGAGTCTGACAGACACCAGGGCTGCGCGGGACAAAGGGGCTCCTTCCTCCCCATGAGCTACTTTCTCCCGCTGCCACTGTGTGGACGCGTCGCCTCACTGGTGGGCCCGCTGTCCGCCAAACCGGGGACTGAACTGGCTCCTCGGGCCGCGGCCCCGGGACGGGAGGGAGGGACCCGAGAGGACGAGGTGGGGTGGGAGGTGGGGCGCCCGGGAGGAGGCGAGGGCGCTGGGAGCTGGAGGGCGCGCGCTCCGCCGAAGAGCGAAGGGGAGGGCGGCCGGGCCCGGCACGCTCCCTCCCTCGGCCTTTCTCTCACATAAGCGCAGGCAGAGGGCGCATCAGCCATGCCCTGCCCTGCGCCCGCCGCGCCGCCCCGCGCTCTCGGCCTCGCCGCCCCGCGCCCCGCCGCCCGCCGCGGCCGCCCGGCGCGCTCCACTCCTGGGAAGGGCGGGGAGGAGGGGACGCGTGCCCCGGGGGGTTGGAGGGGCCGAACATCGCGGGGGTGGGGGTTTCGGCCTGGCCCCCCTCCTTCCCAAAAGCACCAGCAGCCACGCCGGCCGAGGAGCCGTCCGCTCTCGCCCCGGCCTCACCTCGCCGGCCCCGAGCGCGCGCGGGGAGCTCGGATGTCCGGTTTCCTGTGAGGCTGTACCTGACCCCGTCGCCTCTCGCCGGCAGTGGCTGGGACGGCGACGTGCGACGTCGCGAAGGCCGCCAGCGGCTCGCCCTCGGGGGTCAGCGCTGGGCTCTGGGGCGGGCGGAGGGCGAGCGGCGCGTCGCTGCGCCCTGGCCGGTCCACCATGCGCCAGCTGCGCGCCTTGTCCCTGGCGTGTTCCCTGCTCGCCGCCGCGCTGCTGCCGGGTCCGAGCCACTCGCCTGCCGCCGCAGCCGCCCTGGAGTCGGGACTCGGCTTCTCGGACGCGGAGCCGGAGGAGGGCGAGACCCAGGTGGGTGCGGATCGCGCGCTGGGGTCGGGTGCGGGAGGGGGTGGGGGTGAGGACCCCAGGCTGAGCGTGTGCGTTCGGTGTCACCTTGTGTCCGCTGGATCCGAAGTTTCCAGGCGGACTTAATGCTTCTTGAGAGAAGAATTTTCTCCTGGTGTCACACAGAGTTGTTCCTAAGTAGAAAAGCAAGTTACGGGAGTTCAGGGCCCAGGGAGCTGCCTGGAGACAGAGGTCGCGGAACCGCCGTGAGAGCCATCCCCGCGCTGCGCCCAGTGGGTCTCGAATCAGCGCGGACCCGGAGAACGGAGTTCACAGGGGTCGCGTGGCTCTTTGGCCCCGACAGATTAGTGGGAAACACGCAGCCCCGGGGCCGGGACGCAGCCCCCGGAGGCGCGTAGCCGCGCAGTCCCGGGAAAGCAGAGCGCTTGGTGCGGTGCGCAGCTTCAGAGAGAGTGGGGGAGAGAGGAGTTCAGTAACCGGGTTGGAGCGCTTAGGACCTCTGAGTCCCTTGTAGGAAAACTGGTAGAACTTGAGACCCCAGGTCATAATCGCGCATGTCTTTCCAACTTAATAAACTCTGCATTTCTGAAATCGGGTCCTAAAATTCTGAAAAGTAAGATGGGTTTTTAAAAAAATATGTGACGTTTTTAACTCTTTGCCTAAAAATGTTTCCAAGAGAGTGTGGAGACATTCTGATTTGCAAAGAGTAGTTTGTGTACTTTTGCTTCTTACTTGCTCCCGTGAAAGAGTGTATATTTACCTAAGAAGTCCAGGTCTGACGTAAGGATGGAACATACGCTTGCCGACTCGGGTTCTTGAACTCCTCAAGTTCCCCATTGGACACATTCTGGGAAGCCTCCCTTCCTAAGCTCGCGGTCCCCTGCCGCGACCTGGACCGCTTTGCTGGGCTTCGACTGGTGGCGAGAGAGGAAGCTGTCAACCTGGAGGTGACTTTACTGATTAACATGTGCTCAATGTGCAGAAATTAAATAGCCTCTACAATTATATTTTGAAAGACGTTTTAAGACTGCAAAGACTTCTTTTTAAGACCCAGACTACTTTTGCCTTTAAATTTTCAGGGAAAAATTTTCAAGGAAAAACCTGTTGAATCAAAAACAAAGTATGCATCAACTGCAGGACAGAATGCATTGGGTGAATTGTAAGATGATTCTTAAGGCACATGTGTATCTGTAACTACTGTCAGGCGAATGTCGTCCTTGTTCTTAAATGTCACCAAAACGTAGCACTGGACCCACTGACACTTTCTGTTTGTGCAAAGTCGAACCATTGAAAGCAATGCCCGTGGTAGCTCCCTTCGGGTCAGAGGAAGACGGTGCGAAGTAAAGGGTAAAGTGAGAAGCCTTTCCTGATAAGCCAGGAGCCCTAATGAGAGTCGCTCAGTGCTGGGACAAGCCCGAAAAAAAGTGCGCGCACGTGTGTGTGTGTGTGTGTGTGTGTGTGTGTGTGTGTGTGTGTGAGAGAGAGAGAGAACGATGTGTAGGTGCGTGGCTGGATGATAAAAGTTCATTTATTTTGAATTGTCCAAGTCGTCTTCATGTGTGATATAATCAAGCTTTCCCTTTGTCAGGAAAACCTTTATGCCTTTTAGTTCCCTTTTCATATGTTACCACCCTTTTATGTCCAGCACGGTGAGGATGGGTGGGTGCTCTGTGGGCGGTATGGACTCTTTCGCACGTGGTGACGCATCACTTGAAGTCTCTGAGTTCCAAGGACCGCGAGGCTCTGTGCCACTTGCCTGCACTGCAGCGTCCCCAGTGTTTGAGTGGAGGGTGACAGGCACGTGTCACACACGCCCTCAGTGCGCCTGCAGGGGGCGTGCTCCAGGCTCCACCACTCTCCCCAGGGGCCTGAGCAATCGCCTCCTTTCCTTCTAAGCCCTAGAGAGGAGCTGATGGTTTCTTTTCTGTGAACTATGTAAACCCCAAGAAGCGATTTCAGAAGGTAAATAGAAGACCCTAGATATACATAACCTGCAATAAAGGCAAATTTTGGTAATTTTTGGAAATTAGCAAAATTACCAAAAAAGCTTGGAAAGCTTTTTTTAATATTAAAAAAATACAAAACAACTCACTAGCTATGAACCAAGATTCGACATCCAATCCTTCACCACACCCCCAGAGCTATTCAGAAAATTGGAGGTAAAATCACAGATGGAAACAAGATATCCTTGGTCCTCCACTTACATTTGAATTTATTAGGTTCCTCTTTCTAGTTATCTGTGGTTGTATGACTTACTCAGAAATCCTCAAGGGTCTCTCTGAAGGATCAGTCGGCATCAGAAAAGTAAGGTGAGCACAGTGTTGCCTATTGTATAATTAAAATTAACTACACATGGCGAGGGAAAAGAAACTATTTAAAGTCCTCATCACACTAAACAAACTGCAAAAAGCACTAGATTACTGTGTACAGTCATTTGCAAACATGAGGTGAGGCAGAGTTGGTTTGTGAGAACAACAGAAGGAAGAATTACATCATATGAAACATACCTGCGGGACTTTTATTCTAGAAAGTAGGTTGGACTGGGGGCATAAACCTGCAGGACTTTTATTCTAGAAAGGGGGTGGACTGGGGGCATAAACCTGCAGGACTTTTATTCTAGAAAGAGGTTGGACTGGGGGCATAAACCCCTAGACCCTTCTATGTTTTCAGAGCAGTAAACGCAGGGAGAGCACATTTTTACATCGCAGGTGCCTATGTTAAAGACCAAGTTTCACACAAGATTTACGGTCCGTGTCCACTAAGTGAACGAATAATCCAGACCATGAAATATTATTGAATAAACAAATGTAACATCTTATTTTCTGTTTTACACAAAGGACTTCAAACATCCCTACGTTGACAGTTTACATGGAAAGGAAGTGGATTAGCTTAATATTAATAACAGTAACAGCTATTTTTAGTTACTGTAAAATACAGTTTATGGTGTCTATCACATGAAAACTTCATAATAATGACAGCTAGTGTGCTGTATGCCAGAGTTCCTCCCTCCACTGTTTATAAATCTGCATACTTTTGTACTTGATTGTTTTTTATTTACTGTTTTAAATTCATCAGCGGTGATGTTTTTCAAAATCCCATCTGTGTGCTGATTGCAGCAGAATTCCTTAGAGGTCTTGAGTTTTGTTTCTGTTTTTATTTTTAATCTGACGTCCATCAAATCTCTGGGCTTGGGTTGAGGCATATGCCATTTTAGCCACCATCCTAAGTCATTCTCTTGCACAATGACAACTTGAGACTCGCCAGTCTGTGGTATGTAACAATAATTAATTTCATTGGCTTCATCATCTTCATTATATAATTGTTGGGTTTGCAAGAGAAGCTATAAGTCATGGGCGTCTTAAGATACATAAGCCATTTTTCTCTCTTCAAGAGGCTCAGAACTCAGGTAGAAAAAAGAAAGGGTCTCCCACAAACCCCAGGAGACACCAGAACGATACCAAAGCATCATCCGTGTCCTGAAGTTTGTGTGAGGGACTCATCCAGGAGGCCCTGGGGGTTTAGGTGCCCAGACATAAGGCAGAACTTGAGTTGTAACTTGGATGAGCATTTCCATCAACCACAGGGACCCCCTTTGTGCCGTGGATGGGACAGAAGGTGAGAAGGCAAGTAGGACTGAGGGGTTCTACTGGGTAAGAGCGAAGGCTCGTAGGTAGCACTGAGTTTGTGGAGATGGATGGGGTCACACTGCGCATGGGCAGCTTCAGGAATTCGGCCATCATGCCGTGGCTCATGGAGGGGTGGTTGTCCATGATTGGGGCACCTGAAAGACATAGCTAGTCAGAAAGCTGTTGAAGTCATGTGCGGGGTTGATCGGCGGTCAGCACTTGCTGGGGTGGAGCATGGTCTAGTTCAGGAGCAAGAGGAATAGTCTAGAAGGGAGACAGTGAATGAAGTGCAGAGGGTGTTGTGAGAACGGAAGAAAAATCTGTGAGAGGAAGAACCCATAGATCTGGTGACCCACTGATGGGAAGGACACGGGAGTGGGAGACACCGGCCTTGACACCAGTGTCAGAATCACAGGGCCGTGTGGGGCCTGTCGTGGGGATACGGCCTTTCAGAGAAGAGCCTGGTCTTCATGGACAGATGAAGGCGTGAGTCCAAATCACTGAAGACTTTACTAAACTAAGGAGTCTTTGGAGAAGCGACTTGAGTTTTACGAATTTCCATCTCATGAAAGGAAAGTAATTGTCTAGGGTCACCTGGACTGGAGCTGCATAAAATACCACATTTAAGTGTTTGACAAGTATTATTACAATCCCTAAAGGGAATTGACGGTATACGTACCCCGTTGCCCATGTTGGAAATGAGAAGGTGAATGTTATGCAAGTAAAAAAGGCCATGGATGCGGCTGTGATGTTTAGCCGCTTCCTTGCAGTCTCCTCCGAGCATGGCGGCATTCAGGACCCAGGACGTTTCTCTGGTGGACTTCAGATCCTGTCCTTTTTGGCAGCAACTGACCATGAATCTTCGGACAGGAGGAGGTTTGCTCTTAGGCAAATGCTCAGTGTTGGTGCGAGTGGGAGCCGTTGGCTGAGCCTCCTCTGTTCAGCTTGCTCTGCACCAGGCCATGTGAGGGGCTCAGGGTCTGACCACCCGGCAGCCCTTTCTGAGGAGGGCGAGCACTGTGACCTAAGAGCTGGGTTCTTGCCCCTTCCCCTGGGTGTCTGCTGCTTTCGCCCTGAGTCTACAGCTGCCGCGTTTAGTGTTTTCCTTAGAGGATAGGAATTGGTGCCTGTCAACCTCCAGTCTTCAAAAAGACTTGCAGAGCCCAACTCTGAATGATGCAGGGGATTGGTGGCTTTGGACGTAGAGAATTCAACTCTCCTCTCGTTTTGGTTTCTACTTCCTTGTAGCCTTTCTTCTGAACTATGAACCTCTGCGGGCAGCCCCTTGTTCATAAGATGGTTAACCTTGACGGCGCTGGGGAGGGACCAGCTTGTTGCCGGTCTCGGCAGCCTCTCAGTGGGCATCTCTTCCTGCCA